CCTGTACCCCCTCACCCACAGGCACAGGCCCCAGCACACACGGTCTTTATTGTGGGAACGCCCTAGACCCTCAGCCTCATCTCCTGGCCTTTGGTGCGCTGCTCCTGTGTGGCTCCTGTGTGGGCCCAATCTCCTGATGACCTTTCCGCCCTCCTCTTCTCTGCCCTTCTACCCTGTAGTTTGGTGGGAAGGAGCGTTATGGGCCCCTTTGGCAGTCTGATAGGGATGCCTTTGGGCAAAGGGCACAGCACAGTAAAAGATGGGGAGAAGGCTGAAGTCACTTATTCATTAGTTTACTTATTCAGTAAGCATCTTCTGACTTATTACGTGTGGTCAAGGTTCTAAGGGAGGATATGTGCGTGAGGAAAAGACAAATCTGACAAGCTCCAGGTAGTAAGTTTCCAGGAAAGATATAGAGGAGTTGGGAGCAGGGAGGGGTGACTGCTGGCTCCTTCCCCCTCTTGGGGATGCTGCAGGGTGATGTGTTCCATGTAAATCCAGCTCTGACCCTTAGTGGCTGTAAAGTCACTTGATGGGGCTCAGCTAATATCTAAGGAATTGGCAGGACAGAAGCAGAATGATCACGCATAGCAGGGGTTGTTATTGTTTCGTTAATTCTTTCTTCAGCTCTGGCTGTTCTCCTGTTAAACGTGTTCAGTGAGTTTTCAGCTTTGGTTGTGAAGCTTTCTTATTTCCAGAAATTGCATTTGGCCCTTTTGCAGTCTGCTATGTCACTTTTTATAGTTTCCTTTTCTCTGCAGGGATTGCCAAGCTTTTGTTTCATTGATTGAAGCAGAGAAGGCATATCTGTTTTACAAGTGATGTCTGTGCCTGAAGTCTCTGTACGTCTGTTTCTAGTTTCTATTTTGTGGCTCATTCTAGTTCCTGAGGGTTCCTGCTTATCTTTGACTGTATGCTGGTTATTGCATTTGAAAAATTTGGTATGCATGGATGTGGACTAGGATGAAGGCACCTTTTACCAGAGAAGGCCTGCCGTTCCTACAGACTCCTGGGGGAATCGCTAGTTCAAGACCACCCAAAGCCTGGCTCAATTTTGGGGTTTCTTGAACCATCCAGGGGATTCCAGCCGGGCTCTAGTGCTGGGTAGGAGCTGTTCTACTCTGGGTTCAGCCCTAGCCAGAGTGTGGCCCTGGAGGATCCCAGTCTCCTGTTTGACTTTCCCCCATCTGTGGGCCTGGACTGGGATCTCTGACTCTTCCACTGGTGAAGCTTTTGAAATAAAAGTTCACGTTTTGAGGAACTGGTAAATACCCTCAGGGCAAAAGCAGGGCAAAAGTGGCTTGGGTGTTCCTGTGTCTCCATTGTTTCCCTGTGGTCTTCTCTCTGGCCAGATAATTCCTCACGGTCTCATCAGTTCTTTAAGAAGTTTTAATATACATTTTAAAAATCCAGTTGTTTTAGTTGTTCTCTAGTTCGGTTGGTCCGGAATAGATTATAACCATGGCTCTCAGCCCTATGGGATCCAGAGCCTGCCCACCACAATCAGAGACAGGAAGTCCCCATTCATGAAACGGTGGTCTCCAATGCACAAGGGTACTTCAAAGAGTTCGTGGAAAAATATAATTAAAAGATAATACAGATCTTTTCTTGAACTTTGTGCAGACCCCTTAGGTGGGTTAAGGTCATGTTGGGAAAATAGAATAGTTTGGTCAGGGCCCTCCCCATGGGTCCAGTTGGGTGTGGTTCAGCATTCTTTGTAAGCAAATTGTGTGTGTGTGTGTGTGTGTGTGTGGAGTTAGTGTGCATGCATGCCAATGTATCTTTTTACATTAGTTTTGTTGCTATTTTTGTGTTCTTCAGAGAGAGAGGTAGAGAGGAGTTTTAGTGAAGCAGGTGGGCGGGCGTCTGCCTCAGGTGTCCGCCCAGCGCAGCCACGCTTTCCAACCTATGGCTCCAAGGACCTTTTGGCTGGTTACCTAGCTCATAGACCTGCGTGAAGGGGTCTGGTGACCCAGCCTCGTGTATAAAGGGTTTGTGACCTAGTCTATGAATGGGCTTGAGGGGTCTGGGAGCTCCAGACCCAGCCCTAGCTCAACAGTCGGCCCAGATTGTACAGGATTACTGGCAGGTAAAAGAGCCTGACAACTGGCATGGTCGCCTAGCTTTACAATTGGTGTCACAAACAGGACTAAGAGCGCTATAATTGGCGCTGTGAGCAGGATTCCAGACATTAGCTGTGGCTTCACAGGTCAGAAAAGCTGAGACCCTCTGCTCTAGGGCACCCCGGGGCAGTACCTGTCTCCTTCCTCCTTCTCCCTCTCTCGGTTAGGTGTGGAGGGGGTGGTGGGCTGTGTGAAGACCGAGTGGCTGACACTCCCCGAGACCTCACTACCCTCACCTGCCTCCAGCCCACTCAGACTCGGGGCCTAGAGCTCTCCCAGCCCCTCAGGTCTCAGCTCACCAGACCTGCTGTGTGACTGGCTGGGATCTCACTGCCTCCTCCCTCCTGTTGTACAACCCTTACCCGACCCCTGCCCCTGCCAGGAGGGGCCTTGTCCTGTGCCCAGACAAGCTGTATCCTCACCCACCTCTCGCCCTTCCATCCAGTGGTAATGCCTTATTTCTCCTGCTGCCTTCAAGGTTAACGTCAGGCCCCACCTCGTTGTACATGAGTGAGTTGTTTCTAGACTCAAGTGTTCATCTAGAAGACAATCACTGAGCCCAGGTCAGGGGCAGGGGATATAGTGATGAGTTCAACAGGGCCCTGCCAGACCAGGTCAGCCTGTCAGACCCAGAGCCCCTTTAATAGTCAAATAATATAACCTATCCATACCCCTGTTTATATAATATAAAATGGTGGTGAGCCAGGGCCCAGGGGCAGGGGATATAGTGATGAGTTCAACAGGGCCCTGCCAGACCAGGTCAGCCTGTCAGACCCAGAGCCCCTTTAATAGTCTGAAGTGGAATTCACAAATAATATAACCTATCCATACCCCTGTTTATATAATATAAAATGGTGGTGAGCCAGGGCCAGGATCTGAGTCAGCCTGGAGCCAGCGGGAAGGGATGAGGCCAGTGTAATGCCCTAAGTGTGACAGAGAAGAGGATAAAAGGAAGACAGTTTATAATAAAATCTTACCTATTTTATCTATTTTAGAAGTAAATGTTGGGCACAACTAGAAAACCCAGTGAAGCAAATGCTTGCCTCTGAATCATGAATGTGGCAGCCACAAGGGCACCTGTTTGGTGTGGTTGTGAGTGATATACTTTCTGAAATGGGAAAAAACTCCAAGTAAAGTTTGAACAACACAAAGGACAGTCTTCTCTCAGTTTATATTGGAATTGCATTCCTGGAAAATTCAGTGTTTCCTAAAATCATGCAAAAAATATTTCTGTTTCTGTGCATCGCTTTGGGCCCAGAGGTGAGTGCAGGTGTCCACCTGTGAGTTGTGGGACAGGACACCTGCAGCCAGGCATCCCTGGGACAGTCTTTGTAGTGCAGAGTCCAGCATCCCTGTCCTGCCCACTAAGTGCGAGCTGTGACAATTGTGGGGACAACTAAATCCCCACGCCCAATTTCCCAAACACCCCCTGGCGTGGCCCCATTTCCCACCATTCAGTTGGGAACTGCCGGCCTCTAACGGGCAGTGAGATCCACGTGGTGATGGGGGATCCCAAGGTCCCAGCTCTGTCTTAAGGACTGAGCAGAACCCATAAAGACACAAACTGAGTGCTCGTTTCCGGAAGTAATGGCCACTCATGCTGGTGTTGCCAAGGTGGGCGAGGTGGGGCAGCCCTGGTGGCTCCATCTGCTTATGGAATTGCCGTTTTCCCTTCCCTCAAGGGGTTCTGTCTTCCCCGACCTTTGGGTCACCCAGTTTCTCCTCCCAGTGCCTACTCACGGGCTAGATGGAAAATCCAGCTTTGCTTTGGTTCCCAGCGTCTGGATGTCTCACTTTGACCAAAGCAGGTTCACAGCCTTTTTCTTAGAGGAAACATGAAAGGGCCTGAAGGAGGGGGCTCCTGTCTCTGCGACCACCCAGTGGCCACCTCTGGTGTCCCAGCACAGCCATCTTCCTCTGGTGCTGTGTGCTACTGGAGCACTGTGCAATCAGACTCACACTGCAGCGTGCAAGGGGTTTCAGGGCCCCTGAGTCCACCTCCTTGCCCAAGTGTGACTCCCTCCTGAGACAGGGAGATCCCTGCTCCCAGCACAGCCCAGGCTGTGTCAGGCAGGCCCAGCACTCACCCATGCAGCACTTCACCAGCGCCCAGAATCCTCCCTCCCTCCACCATAGTTTACAACAGAATTTTCCAACTGGTGCCTCCTTTTGATAAGTAGAAAAATTGAACACCCGTCCTGGAGTTTGGATTTTTGAAAATGATAGGTGTTTTGTCTACTTGCCAAAGTAAAAACTGTAATAGTGAACATGTTTCTGGAGTTTTGTTTACCCTATCTCAGGTCAAGTTCCCTAGAAGTAGAGCCTAAGATGGGTGAATTATTAAGGAAGGGTCTCAGGAGAATAGAGTGGGGTAGAGCCCCTTACTCTCTCATATAGGGCAGGGGAAGAAGCCAGGCAAGGGTGTGGTTTCAGGGGAAACTAGCCTCAGCCTGGCCCTATGCGGAGCTCCGGAGTGTGAATTGCACCTCAGACAGTCCCCTCCAGAGGCTGGGCTACTAGGTGCCTGTGTCAGCCAGTAGAGAGTGGCTGCCCCTTGGGATGGGGGAAGTAACTTCCCAGGCATCTGTGGGCAAGATGGCCTCCGTTGGCCAAGGCATCGGCCAAAGGATGCAGATGTGAGCTGTTGGCTGCCACTACCCACAAAAGCTGGGCACAGATAGGGTATAGGGGTGATGCTTCAAGAGCCTCTGGGGATGGTAATCCAGGATGCTACAAATTCTATGGGGTTCTTCTAACCAGTTCTTCTCTATCTCCAGTGGGGCAGGAGAGAGCAGAACTGCAGGCTGGGGGGTTTTCCAGGGAGGGCCCTGAGCCCCAGATGAACCACTCTCCCTCCCTCTGTCTGCCCTGCCACAGACTGCCTCTTCAAGGTATGCCCCATGAACCGCTATTCAGCCCAGAAGCAGTACTGGAAGGCCAAGCAGACCAAGCAGGACAAGGAGAAGATCGCCGATGTGGTGCTGCTGCAGAAGCTTCAGGTATGTGTGTGTGCTCAGGTATGCATCTGTGTATGTGCAACAGGAACCTGGGCGCGCATGCAGGGCCACTGCTCCTCAGAGCCAACAGGAATCCCGTGGCTAAACCAAATGGTTTAAAAACCTGAACATGCAAGAGAGTGGCGTGAGTTGCTGTGAATGAGGGGTGGTGGGGGAAGTGCATCTGTGTATGTGCAACAGGAACCTGGGCGTGCATGCAGGGCCACTGCTCCTCAGAGCCAACAGGAATCCCGTGGCTAAACCAAATGGCTTAAAAACCTGAACATGCAAGAGAGTGGCGTGAGTTGCTGTGAATGAGGGGTGGTGGGGGAAGTAGGGTGCCCCCCTCCTCAGTGCCCCACTAGTCTGCATAGCTCCTGTGTGCCAGTTAGAACAAAGTGCCCCTTCCTCCAGGCTGGCACAGTCCTATGCCAGGGCACATGGCACAGTGAGTGGCATGTGGATACCACAGTCTAGTGAACAACCTGTACAGCTGTCCACGGAGTTGCCACTGGCTCCTGGAGACAGAGGCTTCAGGGAGCCCAATTTGAGAACCCTGGATCTAGTCTTAACCCCTCCCCTTGTTTTGTTGGAGCCTGGGCCCCTTAGAAGGGACTGGTCTGTCCATGGTCATCCTGTGAATTTGCAGTTGAGCCTACCCAGGTCTCTCTCTGACTCACTTTGGGTTCCTTGGACACATGGATGGTGTCATGGTGCTAGTTGTTCAGGAGTGGGCAGTGGCTCAGTTCACATCCAGGCATTCTTCTGGACAGAGCTCAGGGCCCCAACCCCAATCCCAATGGAAAACTGAGTGGGAGGGTTTGACTGTGGTCCACAACTTTGTAGCCTGCTTCTGAGAGCCTTCCTTGGTCCTGGTACTGACTTTGTCAAGCAAACCTTGCGTCCCTCTGTCCCCTTCCCCTGAGCTCTGAGGAGGTGGGTCTAAAGTGGGGGCAGGTAGGCATGGTACCACCCTATATCTGTGACCTGGGCTGGAAAGAGGGGCTGGAGGTGGGCTGCCTGAGCTCCTGTAGAGACAGGCCTATCTCCCTTCCTGGGGCGGGGCTGTCACAGGCTTCCTTGCCCCTGCAGACACAGGCCAGGCTGAGCTAGGGATCTGGCCCAGGGAAGGGCTCTCACACTTGCCCAGCTACATACTCAGAACTGCATCTGTAGAAAGTCACATGGAACATGGCAGGGCTCCCCAGTGGCCACCCTCACACCGGTCTTGGTCATAGAGCCCTGGTAAGTGGACTGAGGAGGAGGAAAAGGCAGAGGAGCCTTTGCTCTCAGAGAGATGATGGAGGTGACAGAGCCCTTGCCCTCCAGGAGCCCCCAATATGACAGAGGAGACAGAGCATCTATTCTCAGGCAGCTTCCAGTTTAGCAGGGGACAGAAGTGCCTGAGAAGGTGCCCTTAATGGGATGCAAACCAAATCATCAAGGCCACCCAAGCTGGATCTATCAGGGTCGAATGTGGCTAGTCAGGGAAGGCTCCCTGGAGGCAGTGAGCTGGGAGCACACATGGTTTTGGAAGAGAGGGTTACAGAGGAGTGGGGGCAGAGAAGGGAGCCAGGAAATGGCATCGAGTACACCCCTGCCAGGATTTGGGCTGGGGCAGGGGTCCTGTGTTGGGGGCATCAGGAGTCTGGTGAGATGGGGGTGGGTGGCGAGGCTCAGCTTTAGGTTGCTGGGAATGTCGGGGGCAGAGGGGGCTCAAGGTCCTGCTGGCACACCCCCTCCATGAGGTGCTGAGGGGCAGGGATTTGGCTCCCTGGCCTATGTGCGCTATAAGACCTCAGGCTGCCCCTCCACACCCTGTGCCCTCAGTTCCTCATCATCAGTGGGAGGAAATGGGCTAAGACAGCCTCTGAGCTGGGCAGGGGTCCCAGGGTGAGTGTGTGTGCATATGTGTGCGTGGGGGTGGGAAGACATCTCTTTCCAGGGGGAGCTCTAAGCTCAGCCTTCACCTCCACGTGTGTCTGTGTAGCACGCGGCCCAGATGGAGCAGAAGCAAAATGACACGGAGAACAAGAAAGTGCATGGGGATGTCGTGAAGTACGGCAGTGTGATCCAGGTGAGACCTGCCCATG